CTTTCTTATTGCTTTATAGGTATGAATTCATTGAATCCTCACAGCAACATGATCGTAGTTTAAATAGGTAAAACTATACAAACTTTGTAAATGAAACTGAGGTCCAGAGAGGTGAAGTAATTTACCAAAACCTTATAGCTAGTAGCAGGGAACTTGATTTAAATGCAGACAGTGTCAGTCTGTAACTCAAGTTGTTAATCTTGCTTTTTTTTTTTCGTGCGATTCCAGCTCATTGCAACCTCTATATTGCCTCCCTTTATTAGTACTAGAATGGTCTCATACTCTATCTTCTTCCTTGTTACATCCTATGAACACCTGCTCCCAGGATCCAAACTCTAGAATTAGGCAATAATAGTGTAGCTACATTATTCAGAAAATGGGGAGAAGAGCAAGATGCCTGCATCTTAGAAGCAGTTAGAAGCAATATAAGTCATAAGCCCCTGTAAGGCTCTGCAGTACCAGACTGCTAGTGGCCTGAAGCTATCAGTCCTAACAATGCAGGCTTTGGAGTGAAACACACCAGTAGGCTCATTGCCACCTTAGGTTAGCTATTATACCCATTCCTTATCTACAATCTCCTAGAGCAGTGGTAAAGTAATGGTATAAACATGAACTGTGGTCAAAAAGCGCTTAGTTCATATCCTGGTCTGTCATTTACTTGCTGTGTGGCCTAAGACAAATTCATCTTTCTGTCTCAGTCACCTCATATATAAAATGGTTTTAATAATAATACTACATACTGCTGTTATGAGGGTTAAATAAATATTTGTAACACATTAAACAAAGTTTGGCACATAGAAAGTACTATATAAGTGTTTGTTAAAGTAAAGAAATCAGTAAATCATTTATATAATTTGAATTCACATAAATTATTTATATGAAGCAGTAGAGTGCCTGACACAGAGAATCAATATGTGTTAACTATTTACTGGTAGCTACTAGCCCCATATGAAAAGGGTTTTTCAATTAAAATGCTCTGTTCTGTACTTTAAATGTATAGCATTTTGGAATTTAAATACTTTTTTGGGGGTCTTATATTTGTACACATAAAGGCAATGGACACTGAATATCTGATATATTTCTGACAGAAAATTGACAAATATATCAGGAATAATGCTAGGTCCTGGGGATATAATTATGAATGAGAGACAAGATGTATCTGTAAGAGACACTTAGTCTAAGATGCGTATTTTAATCTTGGTTTCCTGGAGGAGGAAATAGAGGCTCCAGGTGGCTGTCTTCCAAGGTCATAAGCCTGGAAAATTAGTCTCACATTCAACTCTGCCTGACTTCACAGCAAGGCCCTTCCCATTTCCCTGTCTGCTGTTTCTCCTCAGATGTCAAAACAGTGACTTTGTCATTCTCAGATTTGTCCTTTCTTTGCTGTTGGGTATGGCAACTCCTGTATATATTTCAAAATCATAGGATTTAAAGGATACCTTTTGACTTGTTCCCTTTAAAATCTACGGATTTATATTCATCCAGCCACTCATTACTTTCTTTACTCAGCCATATATGTATAACCATGTACCTTGTGGCCAGATCACTAAGATATAAAGACATAGTTGATTCTCACTATTTATAGACTATGAATTTATTTGTAACTCCAAATCAATACACATTCACAGACCTCATAGAACAGTGAAAAATTTGAGTTGCCCCATGTGCATGTTCCCAGCTGAGGCTGAACAAGGTGACTTCTGCCTTCCTATTTCAGTCCTCCTACTGTAAACAAGTCTCCTTCATATGGGTGTGTTTTGTGTCACATTATTTGCACGTTTTATACTTTTCCTAGGTGATTTTGCTGTTTGAAAAGGCCCCCGAGTACAAGTGCTATCTACTCTACCTCAGTGCAAGAAAGCAGTGGTGTGTCATATGGAGAAAATATGTGATAAGACATTGTTCAGGCAGAAGTTACAGTGTTGTTGGTCATGAGTTTAATGTTAATCCATCAACAATATATATTATATTTAATAAGGTGTCTTTAAATGGAAACAAACAAAACAAGATTATGTATTGATTGGTGGATGAAAACATTATGACCAGAGGCTCACAGGTACCTAACTCTGTATTTCCCCTAGGAGCAACGGCTTTGTATTTACTAAATCAGTCTTCCCTGAAACCTTACAGAACGTAACTATCATGAATATTGAGAATCAACTGTAATTTGTCTCTGTCATCGGACATTTCCCAACCATTGCTGAGCAAAGTTTAGGAATACAAAGCTGACCAAAAAAATAACATTCAAATAATAAAAATATATTTAAGAAAGTGTTCAACTTCAGTGGTCACAAAGAAATAAAAATCAAAATAACAAAACGTAATTTTTGTCTATCTAACTAGCAAATAATGCAAAGTTATAAAAATCTTCGGTTGTGGCCAGAGTACAGAGATAGGTACTTTTCTATATTACTGGTTGGCATATTAATGATTATAACATTTTCAGAAAGCAATTCTTCAATGTATATCAAGAATGTTAGAAAATGTTCTTTTTTAAAAAAATAGTTCTAAATATAGGAATCAGCATTAAGGATATGATCAGGAATTTAAAATTCCATTTCTTTTTGTTTTGAGATGAGTTTTGCTCTTGTTGCCCAGGCTGGAGTGCAATGGCACCATCTCATCTCACTGCAATTCTGCCTCCCGAGTTCAAGCGATTCTCTTGCCTCAGTCTCCCGAGTAGCTCGGATTACAGGCATGTGCCACCACACCCAGTTTTTTTTTTTTGTATTTTTAGTAGAGACATGGTTTCTCCAGATTGGTCAGGCTGGTCTCCAACTCCTGACCTCCAGTGATCTACCTGCCTTGGCCTCCCAAAGTGCTGGGATTATAGGTGTATGCCACCGCACCCAGCCTAGAAAATGGCTTATGTCAAAATCTATTCATCATTAAGTTAATATAATAATAAAATATTGACAAAACACCTAAATACCTGACATTATAGAAATGGTTGAGTAAAATGACTCTTTCTTGTACTATATACATGGGGATATTTTTGTAGCTAATAAAATTAATAAGATTTTACAGATATTTTAATAATATTAGAAAATGCCTGATATAATATTCAGTGAAAAGGGGGCATTAAAAAGGTTTAACAATATGTAGCAACTATATAATAATACATTTTTTAAAATACTGGGATAATATGCTAATACTGGTTGTCTTCGAGTAATAAATATCTGTACACTGTTTTGAACTTTCCAACTTTTACACAAGGAACATTACAAAAAGTAGATTTACAAAGACTGTAAATTCTCCATTTTGTACATTAAGAAACATTTCTACTATAGTTTTCTGAATTTGACAATGAAATTGTTTAATGCATTCGTGAAATGGCATTCTTATAAATGAGTCATCTTATACCCTGGCACTTATGACCATATGTTTTATATTTTCAAAATTCCATTAAGCATAAGCACTGGTACTTATTCATAGAGATCCACAAAGTATGTTACAGAGCAGAAACCACTCAGTAATAGTCATGAATGTGTCATTTCTTTCCTGTCCCAATCATGACCAGCTGTGAGTATTAATTCCACCTAATTCTGAGTCAATGATAATGAACCTGAAAATACACTAATAGCTCCATCTCCATTAGTGATGCCAGGTATACAATTAATCTATTTCTCCATCTCAGGGCATACTCACACCAACTGGGTAGAAGTGTTTCCACCAAATCCCTATATAAAGACCCAGACAATTTAAGATGTAGCCTCATTCTTACTTCTGGATTCATGTTCCATTTCCTTGTTAGAACTCAAGCTTTCCTAGTGACAGGTCTAATCTTGTTAAGGTCTTTCCTTCTATTCAGTACTTAGACTTGTTCCTTTAATTCAGGCTATTTTATGAGTTCTTGCTATAGCCTTGCTGAATCAACACAGAATCATACTCTGTGAATCAACTGTTGCCTTGATCCAGCAATACCTTCTGCCATACTTTGTGCCATTCTATCAGAAATGTTAGCTAAAAACAAAAACGAAATAACAAGCCAACAAAACCTAACCCGGATCACTAAGTATGCCATGACAGCAGTGATATTGTGAATAGAACTGCTGCTTGTCTCCCATAGCAGTCAACCTTACTGCCCAGTGACTGCCCTCAGTGCCAAGCCACCAGTTATAAAACAAATTATGTGTTTTGCTCTGACATTGTTAAAAAAATTAGTAAATGAGCTCCTTAATGCTTAATACTCTATTTAAAAATTAATAAAATTATAGTAGCATTAGCATGATGAAATTTTAGAATTGATGGAAACAATAATCATATTTTTGTTAGAATTAAGTTTTGCTAGAATTAAAATATGCATATGACTTACATGTACAAATATTACATATGTATATTTTTATAGTTATATACCTACTTATGATAAGTATCCAAGATTAATTTGTTCATTTAGTTCTAGTGAAGCCAAAGTTAGTTATGGCAATAATGATTACTTGTCCTGTCTTGAATGTTGATGCTATGGGTTATAAGAACTAAATAGGAGAGGATGGATGAGAAAAACACAAATATATCAATATTACTGGGAAAATATCTCAAGACACATGTCTTGTTGATGGAGTTAGTACAGTTATACTCATATACAGATCCCTGAAAATACACAGATCATCTTCCTATGTTATTCACTCAAAGAGAATCTTATCTTACCTAAAAACTCCTAAATCATCCATTCATTCATCCAATTATGCACATATGCATTTGTATTTATTTATTCACCAAATAAATATATATTAAGCACATAGAATTCAGGCAAATTCTAAGTAGCTTCTGTATAGGTTACCAATCTGCTTACATATGAGTGGTCACATTACTGGTCACAGCTAATAAGAGGAAGAAAGGTCATTTGAGCCAATGGAAGACATTGTTTCTCTTAACACTAATAGGAATACTATTGAAACAGTAGCATGCATTTACATAAGTTCAGGAAACTGGGTTATAACGATAAGCAGGGTTTTTTTGTTTGTTTGTTTGTTTGTTTGTTTGTTTGTTTGTTTTTTTTTTTTACCCTTGGGTGTATTCCTTACTTCCCATGGTATGTTTGGATATGTGAGCAGAAGCTGGGGGAAGGTGAAGGGCTCTGCATCATAGTGGGAGGTGACTTTACAACTTTTAGGAGGAACAGTTGAGGAGGGAAAGAGAATGAATATAGAGCAAGGAAGAATAGAACCAAAGAGATGGAGGGAAAGTTGCATGTTTGTTATGCAGTGACTGCCTACAACTCTCGAATAGATGTTTAATCCTACAGAATTGTGTAGTTCTGGCCTACAACCCTGGTGAGCTGTACTGGCCCATGACTAAAGCATCTACAAGCCTACTGTCCCTTTAACACAAAGACTAAACAAGTCCAGACTGGTTTTACCATCAGGTAAGATACTGCCTTTAGACAAGGCAACATTATAGCATATGAAAGCAATGTAATAAGTAAAATGGGGTACTGGCATTTCTATTTGTCCTGTGCGCATAAACATCCTATGAAGCCATGTTCTTACTTGAACACAGATTATCCTGTTTCTGTCTCACTTGCTCTCTCCAAATGCCAAACTCTTTATTAAAGCCCCTGATTAGCCCATAGAGTAGTCTCAAATGTACCTCTGGGAAGGAGGGTAGGAGTTTCTGATGACTTTGGAATTTTAAGTTTTCCTTTAAAGCTCCTTCTTTTCCCAGGAGTAAAATGGAGGTAGGCTTTTGTCATCAAAAAGAATCAAATTGTCCTATGTGGTGTTGAGGTACATTTTTTATAAATATAGAGAGAAAAGAATGAGTTTTGTCTACGTTCTGCCCACTTGTCTTCACTATGATCTCAGTCAGCTTTTCAAACAGAAAATAAGAGGATGCCCTCACAGGCACCCCAGGGGCCCAGCCTGGCTGCACACTTTGGCAGCTCTCCCACTCATCAGATCCGCTGCTGCAGGGCTTCTCAGTGTGTACAGCAATTCACAGAGGGAGGGCAATCAGCTCCCTCAGCTAAGAACACCAAGCCAGGAGCTCCAGGCTGGCACCTCCCCAGCTCCAGTGTAAGTCTGGGAACACTCTCCTCATGACTGCACTGGCTGGATTCAATAGCCTGCTGGGCCTAGAACGCATCAGAGACTGTTAGCACTCTGAGGAAATACCAAAGTGAACAACACATGCTCCTTCCTGGACGAGATTACAATAAAGTAAGGCACACAGATGCTCATCAAACAGCAAAACAACCATGCTACTGTGAGAATGACTTTCCTCTGCAGGATGTATTGGAGTACTTTCTAGACACTAGAGTGTAATTGTTTTCACCTCCAGGTAGGTTTCTTCACCAGGTTGTGAGCAAGGAACATGCTTCAGTGGTCTTTAAATTCTCAGTACCTAGCAGAGGTCCTGGATACTTCTTAATGTAATCTATTTCTCTATTCATATCATTTTCTCTGAGGTTCTTTCCTTAACTTCTCTGTCTAAACTATTCAGTCATCCATCTTCTCTTTTTTCCTTTCTTTGTTTTATTTTTCTTGTCTATATCACTACTTGATGTTATGCATATGTCTGTTTCTCATCCATCTTGACCACCAGAATGTAAGCTTTATAAGAACAGGGCCCTTGCCAGTCTTTTTACCACTGTATGTTGTATCCCTAGAAAGTTGTATCCCTGGCAGACAGAATAGGTGCTCAATATGTAATTTTCAAATAATGTTTTCCTGTTGATTTTTTTTTTTTTTTTTTTTTTGAGACAGCATCTCACTCCTGTTGTCCAGGCTGGAGTGCAGTGACGCCATCTCAGCTCACTGCAGCCTTGATTTCCCAGGTTCAGGTGATTCTCCCATTTCAGCCTCCTGGGTACCAGGGATTACAGGCACACATCACCATGCCCGGCTAACTTTTTGTATTTTTAGTAGAGACGGCATTTTTCCATGTTACTCAGGCTGGTCTCAAGCTCCTGGGCTCAAGAAATCTGCCTGCCTCATCCTCCCAAAGTGCTGGGATTATAGGCATGAGCCATGGCACCAGGCCTCAAATAATGTTTTACAACGATAGTCTATGAATAAATATTTGTAGGATAAATGAATTGGTTTAATGGTGTAACAGATGTAAGAGTACTATGAAAACCCAGTGAAGAAATTAATCTTGGCTACTGAAAGATCGTGAGAGGCTCTGTAGAGCAGGACCTTGGAAGTGTGGACAGGATTTCAACAGTTCAGGAAAGTACCCAGAGGTTGTAAGGGGAAGAACACATTCAGGGAGCCACAAATAGTGAATGATTGCAGAGGAGGCTCTGTTTATACTTTAGTTAGTAGTTATAATTAACAAATATTTATGGAGCAACTACTGTGTGCCTGGCATTGGTCTGAAGGATATGAGCAAAGAAGTAAGAGCCTTAGTATTCCACATGTAATAGGTAAATGGGCTAGCATGTTTTCAAGCTTAAATCTTGGGATCAGGAGACTGGATTTTGTTCTGTGCTCAGCGGGGAGTCTTGGAAAGCTTGTGAGCTGGGAGATTGAAGTTCTTATGGGGAAAACAAAGAAAGGCATTAGAATGCTGAGCAAAGCAACATGAAAGAAGCTGCGATTTTCAGAAGAGATTGCTTTCTTTTTGTAATTAAAACATACCTAAATATTTTCCACATTGCTTCATAAGAAATCCTAGAAAAATAACAAGCTCGAAATATTATCGATGCTAAAATTCAAGGCTTCACAATAGGCCATTACTTTCTTTCTTAAAGATAGAGACTATAAATCTGCTTACTCTAGGACTTTAGTGATCCTTATGCCAACATAGTTATAGGTGATTTAAGTGATAGAAAGAAACAATAGAAGACAATCTTGGCTGCCTTCCTTTCAGCAATAACATTACATTATTAAGTCCTTCGGAATAGGGCATCACTAGACTTAAATCTCTTAAATCGGTATTTTCAGGTTAACAACTAGGATGAATGTTTTAAGAGATATTAAACCAGCTTAACTACACAATCAGTGTATAGTTCACTTAGGTTTTTTTTTTTCTTCTAAGTTTAAGGGTACAAGAATACTGTGTTTACATAAAGTATGACATGAAAAAATGTTCAAATATTACAGAATGTATCAAAAAGAAGGTAAGGAAGATAATATTTTTCATATGTCTACCACAGTGCTGTTTTTCAGGCTTTATTCATTTCTGGAACAGCCTTAGAAATGATATAACAGATTTCTACTTTGCACATAGGAAATGCAAATTGATAGCTGGTGAGTCATTTAGCCCATGTCGTTCCAACTAAACTTGATAATGCAAAGTTCTGATAAAACAACAACAGAATAAAGACACGGGTGAATCATGGGACATGTCATAATTATTTAAATGTCTCATAAAGAAATATTTAAGTTTCTTTTTATGAATCAAAATAAATTATGAAGAATCTATTTAAACATAAATGTAGATTTGTTGATTTCTAGATTTCAGTTTTAAAAATGTAACAGTAAAGCCCTAAAGTCCCATTGCAGCAATAGAACATTCATGGGGAGACAGAACATCATTCAGTTTCCTTATTTTTATTTTTAAGAGACAGAGTCTTGCTCTGTCACCCAGGTGGATGTGCAATGCTGCGATTATAGCTCACTGCAACTTCAAATTCCTAGGCTCAAGCAATTCTCCCACCTCAGCCTCTCAAGTACTTGGGACCAAAGGTGCATGCTAATTTTTAAGTTTTCTGTAGACACAGTGTCTTGCTATGTTGCCCAGGCTGGTCTCTAACCCCTGGCCTCAAGCAATCCTCCTGCCTCAGTCTCCCAAAGTGGGATTATAGATATGCGCTACCATGCCCAACGTTTCACTTTATTTTTCTAATAGGATGACAGTGTTGTGACATTGATAACAGAATGAAAAGAACATGTTCATACTAAATTCAGAATACCTGCACTATAGTCTAAGCACTCATAAAATGTTTAAAAATTTTCTATTACCTTTAGTGTGATGATAGTCATATTTTGTTATCATTTCTAGACCTGGCCATGTAGCACAGAAATTATAAAAATTCTGCAAGCAAGTCTTGAGTCAGTTGATGCTCTAAATATTAATAGAATTTAATCTCATCCCTTTGAAACAGGTTCACACATATTTGATTGTAAGATACTAACCTTTTTTTAAAGGACCAGATACTAACCTTTTTTTAAAGCCAGGTGCCGTGGCTCATGCCTGTAATCCCAGCACTTTGGGTGGCCAAGGCAGGCAGATCACAAGATCAAGAGATCAAGACCATCCTGGCCAACATAGTGAAATACTGTCTCTACTAAAAATAAACAAATTAGCCGGGCATAGTGGCGCATGCCTATGATCCCAGCTACTTGGGAGGCTGAGGCAGGAGATTCAGGAGAATCACTTAAACCAGGGAGGTAGAGGTTGCAGTGAGCCAAGATTGTATCACTGCACTCCAGCCGAGGTGACAGAGTGAACTCTGTCTCAAAAAAAAGCGAGGAGGGGGAGATATTAACTATTTGGCTTTGTAAGCCATTCAGTCTCTTGCAACTAGTCAACTTTGCCATTATAGTGCAAAGGCAGCCACAGACAATAGGTAGATCAATGAGAGTAGTTGCATTCCAATAAAACTTTATTTTTAAAGTTTTTGATCTACCTATTGTCTATGGCTGCTAGGCTGTAGTTTGCTAACTTCTGATTTATAGAACAGCTTTGCTATAAAAATATAATTTAAACATAGTGACACATTCTGATTGTTTACTTACTGACCCGTGTAACTTATCTGTTTCCACTTCTGCTTCTTCCAATAGACTAAGGTCTTTGAAAATCATGCTTTTTCTTAATATCCATAATACATTAGAGGCAGGCGAGCTGGGCAGTTGCTACTGGCTGATATAATGGCATCCACAAGAAGTTACAGAATATCAATGGAATAAGTAAAATATATATCAGTAAAATTAGATTTCCACAGAAGACAGGCAACTTGTACATTGGTCTTGTTCCCACCAAAGTAAACAGCTCCCTAGAGTGAGAATGTAAAAAAGCCTTCACTGGCACCACTTATCTCTGCTGAGGACACTCATGGTCTGCACATCAAGCTGCCCCTTATAATTTACAGGCAGAGCCAATTTCCTGCACACACGTGCGCGCGCACGCGCGCACACACACACACACACACACACACACACACACACACACTGTCTCCAGCCCTTACTCAATTGCCTGAAGTCATAGTCACAGGGATCCAAAATTCTGAATGTGTATAATGCATGTAATAACTGCTATTTACCAAGAACAAGTGATTTATTTTATCCTTGAAATTTAAAACCCTCTAATATACCTCCTTGGAAGTTATCTGGCTCAGAATACTGCAATAGCAAGGCAATTATGATTAAGTTATAATGTTATATAACATTTAGTGCAGGTAATAAATCTCTTATTTTGAACATAATGAAAAAGCTATACAAATAATTAGAAACCTTGGCCCTAATAAGAAAATGTTAACAAATAATTAGCCTCCCTGGGGTACTCATTCACATGTCTCTGCACGTCTCTTAGTACGCTTTTAATAAATGTTTGTTAAATGAACGCAGGCAATAGACTTTTGCTCTACTAACTCTGAAGAATCAAAGAGCTAACTTTGAACATGTCAAGTATCATCAATTTTATATTATGAGAAATACAATAATTTCTGATAAAATTCCCACTAGAGGGTGGCTGTACAAGGAAAGTGTTTCCTAGAATGATGCTGAAATTCACCATAAGAGATAAATCCATATATGGAGGAAACGTAAAATGACTACTCTGTCTTTTATTT